CTATGCTCTTAGCAAGCTCCACTCTCATAGCAAGCTCCACGCTCTCAGCAAGCACCACGCTCATAGCAAACTCCACGCTCTTAGTGAGCTCCAAGCTCATAGCCAGCACCTAACGCTTTGTCGCTCCCACTAATTAAAGTTTCTCCTGACAGCAACCCAAAAACTTCGGAGAACTAGAATCGATATCAACTCGAATACTTAAGAGCCGACAGCAATCCGATAACTCTCTACTTCCAAGTCGCCCTCAACACGAATACTTAAGACAACTTCAGATTACCCGAATACTCCCGAACCGACAACTCACGAACTCTGACCAGCTGAGAAACGACCCAGATAGCTCCGTATCGACAATAACCCCCCCTGCATACGTATCGAGCAATCTAAAAATCACCCCATGTTCTTCATATATTAGTCGTAATATAAAAACTCTGAAATTATAAGCACTCGTGTTCTATTTAAGATTTGTGGGTACTTAGGATGATCCTGGCAACGACTGAACTCACCTCAGCCCCAGATAAAACTACTCGTTATAACTGTAGTACCTATTAAAAACTTAAAATACGAAATTTTAAACTCTGTCGGGGAACAATGTCGCTAAAATGATTAAACTACCGAATTTAGGGAGGTACACTTATGTAGGGGCAATACATAAACGTGGACCTATATATTTGAGTAAAATTGTATCTACCTATTTCAATTCGTTCGGAAGCTAAGGTGATTTCCACAGACGGACGCTGATCAAGAAAATATATACTTTGTTGGGTCTAAAATGTATATTTCAAGGTGTTACAAATGGAATGACAAACTTAATATACCCTCCATACTATAGTGGTGGGTAAAAAAAAATACCGCTTAAATTGATGGAGAAATTGAAATGTGCCAACTCTGTATGGAATCGGATGTTAATCTCGCCTTTTATGATTTTCATGGATATTCAAAATATTGACCCTTTGTGGGGGAAGTACCAGAAGTAGTGGACCGTCTTCACAGCAAATCTTGTGCTAGTAAAGATAACGGGTTGGGCGAAATTTTAAGAGATCGGGATGCTTACTTCGGATTTTATAATCGTTTTGGTTATTTAAAACTTTGACCCTTTGTGAGGAAGGTACTAGAAGAAATGGTCCGATCTCTACCGTTTTTATATCAGATCCTGTGGTGATAAAAATATTGAGATCTGTCAAGTCTGAATGGAATCGAATGTTGATTTCGCATTTTATGAGCTTCATGAATATTTAAAATTTTTGTGAGGCAGGTACCAAAAGGAGTGGACCGATATATCCCATCTTCACACTGGACCTTGGGTTAATAAAAATATTGTGATGTGTGTCATCGCATTTTATACGAATTACAATTATTCAAAATTTTGACCCTTTGTGGGGGAAGTACTTGATGGAGTGGTCCGATTCGGTCCATTTACACACCTGATCTAGGACTGGCAAAAATGATGGGACTTGCAAATTTTAAACAAAATCGAATGATCCTTTTCTCGTGCTATTTGGTACATTATTTTCTTTGAGAATTTTATGCTTTTTGTGGGGGAGGTAACAAAAGGGAGTTGACCTACATTGCCCATCTCCGAACTCAATCTATGTTTGATAATACCATTTCGATGTACCAAGTTTAGACCAAATCGTATACTCCCTTCCAGAGTTATCGTGCGCACCAGCCGGACAAACGGACGGACGAACATCACTAGATCGACTTCTGAAACGGATTTGGTCCAAAGAGACCTAGGTTCGAAAATCGTTATATCGATGAGTCACATTTTGGCCGTATCAAATGATACAGGGTTGCCCATATTCGACGGACCCATGACTCTTTGGGCCCTTTCCAATCGACGAGGCTTGTCCGCAGGCAACATTCTTTGCGTCAATTGAATTTTGTACGGGAACAACTGCAAATCAATGCGAATAATCCGTTGTAAAGTGGACCGAGCCATGACCAACTGCAGAGAACGGCGTTTTTGGGATGTTCTTGGGGACCTCTCAACACTGGTTCGTACGGCAGCGATATTCTCGGCCGATCGCCTTGGTCTACTTTTATATGGCCTCTTCGGATTAGAAAGAGCCTTACCACTCGAAGGCGCACTTCTCACATTTTTTAATGTTTTAAAAGCACGTTGAGTTTTCACAATTGACTTCTTCTGTTGGATGTAAATTTCAACTATTTCAGAGCGCTCGCGTGGCGTGTATTGGTTCATGGTAAAAATCTGCTTAGACTGACGCTTCAAACGCGGTATGTCATTAAGCGATGTGACATCTCTGTCAAAAGTTATGGCGTTGCCAGATGGGTCCGTCGACTATGGGCAACCCTGTATATACCCTCTCTAGCTATATGACTGAGGATATAAAAAGAAATCAGTATTACCTATCTTCTATATTAAAATTCAATTTTCTCCCACTACCACCCACACACACACACAACAATGTCAAAATCATATCAATTACAGTTATTAAAATAAAACAAATCTCATATCAAATAAATTTAACTAACAATTTAAGGCACACCAAATGAGCTTTGTCATTCGAATTTCTAATGTCTATAACTGAACGGAGAAACAGACGGACAGACAGTCAGACAGCCAACCAGCCAGCGAACAAACATGTTGCATTAATCGAAATGTTAATACGCTGAACTTTAAGAATAAATGAATGGCGTACGATTTTACTGGCCTTTAGTGGGCCACGCGTTACGATTCACTTGAAATTGTCTAATAGCGAATGACACACACTCTCTCCCTCACACATACACACACACACACATATGGAGCGGAATATCATAAACAATACCATAAAGAAACAATTGAGTACAAAAAAATAATGAATACCCGCCAATAAGTATGTATGCATGTAAGTGCAACATATGGGGTAAGGGGATGGGGGGGCTAAGTTAAAGCTAACAAATAGCCATAAATTTAAATTAAATTGAAATTGTATTAATGAAGAAGGTCCATGAAAATACCCCCCTCGAATGTGCTTTTGGGGTGGTGGGGGGTTGGTTTAGTTTCAATAGAAATGCATTGTTTTGCTTTTCATCCAATGAAATTGTTACCGAATGAATGACAGGCAATTAGATTAAGATTTGAGTCAAATTTATGATGCTAATGGCTCTTAAATTGGAAGGATTACATCTTTGGGAAGTGATAAAGCTCCAGACATTGCAAGGAAAGCGTAAAGGGGAAACAGCTGGCCGTATGGGTTAATAAAAGTTATCAATGCCTTCCATGGATAATATTACTTTAAAAGTCTATTTTTGGCAAAATGAAACCATAGACAATGTTAAGCCAAAGATGATACTATTTTCATAATTTTTGCAACTTTTTAACAAATTTCCAAATTTTAGAATTTTAATTTCAAAATTAATTTCCAAAATTGAGAAGTCTATGTAGTAAGTTATGGCGAAATGAGTTTATCGCTAGTGGCCCTAAATTATATATATTTTCTGAGATGACATGTCTTTATTTAGGGAAGCCTTATAACTCAATATTTTTCGTATCATTTTGTTTCATTTTCTCGAACGGTAAAACAAGTGTAACGAGAACATATATTTTGACATTCATATACTCTACAGACGATTTTAGGTAGGTACTTGAAAAACATAAAATTTGATATTTAAATGTTTTTATCACATTTTCTCGCACCTATAGCTCTCTTACTCACATAGTGTCAAATCTCAAAAAAATCAGTTACGGAAAAAATATTTATAGTTATCGTTTGGAATTTCGTTTCAGGACATTCGGCATCGATCTAGGAGTGGCCGTCTGTGCCTCTGTCTGCCTTGCTGGAATACCCGATTTGGCCCAAATTTAGTACATTTTAAAATTATTGTCAAACTTAGATCGAATTCTGAGATGGGCTACATCGGTCCACTCTTTTTGGTACCTCCCCCAGAAAAGTTGCAAAATTTCAAAGAAAATATATATTTTTTTTTATTTTTGTGAGTGCTAGGTCAGATGCAAAAGTGGACAATGTCGACCCACCATATCAAAATGAGTCAAAATTTCGAATAACCATGAAGCTCACAAAATGCGAAACAAGCATCAGTACATGTCAATATGCCTATCAACACAACACTTTTTCTGGTACCTCCCCCATAATGGGTCAAAATTCTGAATTCATATATGTCTCATAAAATGCGAATTTACTATCCGATCCTCTTCAAATTTCGCACATTTTACCAACACAAGATTTCGTATGAAGATGAAATATATCGGACCACTCCTTCTGCTATCTCCAACACAACGGGTCACGCATACCAATATTTTTATTAACAACCTATCCGGAATGGTGATGGGATATATCGGTTTACTCTTTCTGGTACCTCTCCCCACCACGGATCAAAATTTTGAATAATTATAACTCTCATAAAATCCAAAATTAACATATGTTTCTTTCTAAACTTCGAAAGTTCTAGTATTTCTACTTACAAAATCGGCCCTCTTCTGATACCTCCCCCGAAAACGGTCACAATTTTCAGTATTTATGTATCTCATAACTTGCGAAACGACCCAGAGAACCAATTGTCGGACGTCCGACACATCTGCTCAAAGTCTGAAGTTTTGCCCGACTCGTCGGACCAACGTAGATCCGAATTCTGAGCAATTATAATAAAGATAATAAATAGAGTACCTTTCTCTCTCTCTCTCTCTCTCTCTCTCTCTCTCTCTCAACAGTTATTAAGAAAGATGTTATTGCTATTTGCTTTCGTCATTACATTATGACAGTTGTTGTTAATATGTATATCAGAACTTAATATGTACATCAGAGACCATTCTTCCGAACTCGGTCCGTAAACTGTTAGAACGTCGGCAAAAAAAAAATCAGAAATGCTTACAATGTCCTAGACCGGTGCGACAACTCCAGTTTTCCTTCCGAATTTCCGCTGGGTCCCTGGGAATTCGGTCCGGTAAATTTCGGTCAGAAGTCAAACCGAATACGCATCGGACATCGGAAGTTTCATCCGACTTTCGGTTAGTTCAACTTAAAAGTATTAAAACTTACCCGACAACATGGGAGCCAACTGCATTGCCCCATTCCCAACCGCATCATGTTTGTCATCATTTTTCAGGGGGCCACTGCGGCCGGAAACACAGCTAATGGGTTTTTTGGTTTTCCACAGCTTCATTTTGAAATTAGGGTTTTCTTTTTATTGGATATCCGATTTTTCTTATTTTTTGCAATTCAAATGCCAAAATTTTTTTCAACACTCAAAATATTTTTTTTTTGAAATTTTAGAAATTTCTCACATTTGTAAGCACAACATTTTGTTTAGGCACTTTTTGTTTTGTTGAAATCAACTTCTTTTGTTTACTTTGTTTTATTTATTTTTAATAAAATATTTATAAATTTATTTCGGTTTTTTTTTGGATTTTAGACCAATACGAGAAATTGTTTACATTTCATAGAATACGAAATTTATCCGAATAGAGAAAAGAACTTTTCAATGATTTTTGTTGTTGTTGTGAATTTTCTGCTTCTTCTTTGCTTTATTTTTTGTTGGTGTTTTTGCTATTTTCTGATGATGTTTGGTGGCTCTTCTTCAAAACTGCATTTATTTTTAAATATATATTTTTCACGTTATTGTTGTTATAGTTGTTGTTTTTTTGTCTGTTTGCTGGCTGGCTATCTTTGTCATGCTGTGGTGCAAGAATATTCTGTCAGACAACGATGCTATTTTTTTATAGGTTATATAGCAAAGGGGGATAAATTTCCCCCTTCTTGCACGAAATTCACCAGACAATTCAAATGAACTCAGCGATTCGCGGCGACGACGACAACCAAGACGACACAAAACACACTTACGACGTCACTCATTTGTTGAAGAAGAAGAAAAAAAAGCTAAAAACAAAAACAAACTTTGGCACACGTTTTTCGTAATTTTGGCCGCCACCGTTACAGCCAGCCCACAGAAAATCGAAAAACAAAAACTTTTCTCGATTCGAAAAGTGAAAATGAATCAACCATAAAACTTGAAAATGTTAAAGTGAAAAAAATTGCGTAGACCGCTACACGAATGACTTAGGTCAGCGTATCCAATATTGGGGGATTCATTAGTGTTTTGTTTTTCTTGGATTTTCACAAAACCAAAAAAGAAAAACTATGTCGTTTCGATGTTCACTCAGCGTATTTTGGTCGCCACAACACAAAACCATCAAGGAAACCGTTTTCACTTTCAATATTCAAACGACCCGCGAGCTATCATTTATTTCGATTTCAAGCATAAATTTATTTCTTCCGTTTTTGTTGTTCTTGGGTTTTTTTCACATTTTTCTTTGAACTCCGTTACGCTCGATTAGTTCTTTATAACGTCACATAATTTTCACAATTTTTTTTTCTTCTTCTTTTTTCCGATATATTTTAAGGCCTATCTGCCTGGTTTCCAATTAGAATTATTTTTTTCTTTGCTTTGCTTCCACACAACACAACGGCGTAACGCAACAATCCCAAGCAAGAATACCGACAACGACCGTCTTTACACGGCCACACGATATTTTACTATGGCCACTGATCCCCAAATGAGAGGAGTCGAGCCGACAACACACGCACTCAACAGTGATCTACATTCATGTGGCCCGATTTTCCTCACCAAAAGGAATAGCCTGTAAATCACGCACTCACGCACACACTTAACAACAATTCGCCTCACTTCAGTGTAAGAGGGCTTCTTCTTCTTCTTCTTTTGCAAACAAACATCCAAGAATCAACTCAACAACTGTTGCTTCTCTGCGCTCTCACTTTCATTCTCATTTTCTTTACAACAAATACGAATTTTCAACAAATTTTTATTTTGGGGAGAACAGAGCAAAATTTGGAGCAATTTTCCCGTTATTCCAAATCACGTTGTTGCTTCATACGCGGCTTTTGCTTGACTAACATAGGCGATTTGTCATCAGCAATGCATGGCAGGCCTCTGTTGGCATGGTAACGTTGACGTCGCTGCCGGCGTTGACATTAGCGCCAGGGGTTCCTTTGCATCCGTTTTGTTTGTGTGAGCACTGTTGTTGATACGCGAATGTTTTGTGTGGGGGCCTATACGTATGTGTGTGTGAGTTGCTTGTTTGCCAAGGCATGAAACATGTTGACGGAAATGAGAATATCTCAGGGGTTTGTGTCTTAACTAATGAACATATTGCACAAAAACAAATATTAAATGTTGCCCTCCAAATAAACAATTTGTATGGACTTTCAATACCCCTTTTGGGCTCTTCTGACCTAAAACATTTGCTTAGAATACCAAATGTGATGGGGAAATGGATTTGTGAGGCTCATTTATATGGGGACTGTACCGAAATATATGCCTATAATTAATATATTCTTTAGGAAAAACTAAAATGTTAATATTCAGCCAAATCTATTAGAAATTGTGACCATATCCCTTGAAATAACTTAAATCAGGAAGTACCTATTTGTGGGCGCTACTGCGAAATTTGGACCTACATTGAAAAATTAATATGAATATTTGTGATTTCGTAAAATGCTAAGTTACTCTGCTCTATACTGAAGTCTAACGTCATTAAAAATTCAATGTCTACTGCTTCTTAGTTGGAAAATCTCAACAAATTATTTTTATTTATTTAACATTTTTTTTCATTTTAAACCCATAAATATTTTGCGAAAATGTAAAAAAATAAAAATAATAATAATATGCTTCCATTCTGATCCAAACCCTACCCCATTCAAAATTTCGTGAAAATCAGACGATAATTGCGACCTACATAGACTCCCCCAACACAGGGCTGTGAGGTGTGAAAAACATTGCAAAATGTAATATTCAATATTATATGTCAAATTGGAAAAATCTCATGCGATAAAAAATATGACAAGACATAAAAAATATCGCAAGATAATTTTTTTGCTAGCTGTTTATAATTTTTTGCCAAAAGGCCATTCTGAATTGGTGAGAATTGTAAAAATCCCTCCAGCCATCTTTAAGTTATAAGCTGTCTAACTAACATCCCCTTTTTATACCCTCAGCCATAAGTCTGATATATAATTTGACACGGCCAAAACGTGCCTCGTTGAAATTACAGTTTAAGACCCTCATCAGCTCCCTTGTCTTTTGTCTGGAATATTCTCAAAAGGAGTTATTTTAAAATAACTCCTATGATAGAACAAGTAAAAAAGCTGTAAGTTCGGCCGGGCCGAACTTTGAATACCCTCCACCATTTGGAACGAATTTGGCAGTTCTCAAAAACAATAAAATCCGTTAAAAATTCCGTTAAAATCTTAAAAATACCGAATGTAGCTGTTACATTAGACGGCATGGACTTGCATAGGTAAATTTTGTCATAAGCCATTATAATATTCAAATGCGAAACTTGAAAAAAAAAAATCGGTGAATAATGTACCTAAAATTATCAAAAAGCCCAATATCGGGAGGTACCGTTATATGGGGGCTATACGAAGACAGATCCACGTCTTCGTGGGACAATTTTCTGTCATAAGCTGTAGTATCCATTACGAACTTTAAATACCAAATATGAAACAATTCCGGTGAATAATGTCGCTAAAATCGTCAAAATACCGAATATCGGGAGGTACCGTTATATGTGGGCTATACGAAGACGTGAACCTCCACAGACAATTTTCTGTCGTAGGCTGTAGTATCCATTATGAACTTCAAATATCAAATTTGAAACAATTACGGTGAATAATATCGCTTAAATCAACAAAGAACCGAATATCCGGAGGTTCCGTTATATGGGGGATATACCAAAACGTGGACCTTCATGGCCCATTTTCAATACCAAAAGTCCTGTAGACATACTATACATTTGAGTAAAATTTTATCAATCTACTTCAATTCGTTCGGAGGCTAGAGTGATTTCCACAGACTGACAGACGGACGGAGATCGCTAAATCGACATAGAATTTTATGCTGATCAAAAATATATATACTTTGTGGGGTCTAAAATGCGCATTTCGAAGAGTTTCAAACTGAATGACAAACTTAATATACCCTCCATACTATGGTGGAGGGTATAAACAAATTTTACCCAAGTGACGAGAGTAAAATTAATTTCGTTACAATATCCACTTATTTTGAAGGCTCTTCAAAAACACTTTATTTGGAAACTATTGCATTATCTGAACTTTATAATTTACCCATTCCCCAGGTAGATCTCCATTTAATCATTATTAATTACGATCTACACACGGAGGAAGAAAAACAAAACATGCACTTGTCTTGCAGTCTCCTTTTTCAGTCCATTTTCCCCCATTCTAATGACATATTTATTTGACACATCGATGGGCATGAGATGTGTGACTAATATTTATTGCCGACATCAACGCATGACCGCAGCATAAAATTTGATATTTTTAGACGAAATCAAATTACCTTAAAGTTGAAAAAAAAGCCAAACGAAATCTTTGGCAATATCTCTATTTTCTCCGGCTCAACATCAACAGATACATAAATATGCTTTTTAATTGAAAATTTCATGGAGCCGTTGGCAAAATGGCAGATGAAGTTGTCATTATAATTTCCATTTTTATGGCAAATGTCCAAAATCGAGTTTTATCACTTTTGACCGATATTACAGGTACTGCATTCAGCCATATTTTTTTTTACTTATAATTTTCTATGAATGTATTTGAATATCTAAACAGATACAGATTGACAGAGAAATTCGTACATGTTTCCGCATTGAATGTGGAATTTTTTTAGAATTGGTATTGCAATATTAAATGTATTACAATTAATATAATCGTGAATTTTTATGAAATATTTTTAATTATCTGAGCTACGATCAGGACAAAATTCTTTTGATGATTTTAGCCACACTTTTCGCCAGATTTATTTCAAATTCCAATTTTAGTGTTCACAATAGGTAATAGTTGGAGTTCCTATGACAGAAAATTGCACGTAAAGATCCATATTTTCGCATGGCATATTTTGATGATTTTAGCTAGATTTTTGAACAGAATTATCTCAAAATTAGAGTTTTCAAGTGTTTTCAAGTACCTTCCAACAATCAGTTTTTTATACCTACACTACAAGGTTGTCAGGGTATTATGTCTTTGTTCATTTGTTTGTAACAGGCAAAAGGAAACGAGAAAGACCCATAGTTCCTTTTGATGATCTGCATAGAATCACATTCTGAATCGATTTATTCATTTCCGTCCGTCCGTCTGTCCATGTATTTTTGTGAACAAAGTACAGTTCGCATTTATTACCAGATCCAGATGAAATTTTGCACAAATCATTTGTTTGGCCCAAGGACGAACCCTATTGAAATTGGAGATAATCGTTCGAAATTTAGATATAGCTCCCATATATATCTTCGTCCGATTTGCTTTATATTGTGCACCAAACGTGTAATAGCAGCTCGAATAGTATGGAATTTTGCACATACAACCAAATTAGGCCTGAAAATATGTATGCCAAATTTGATCGAAATCGGTTCAGATATAGCTATAGCTCAAATATATATTGTTCATCTGATTTGTTATTTTAGTCCTCCGCAGCCGTAATATGCACTCTGTAACAACAATATTTGGGGATATATAGCAAATACAGCTCAGAAATGCATCTACTAAATGTTATCGAGATCGGTTCCGATTTGGATATATCTTCCATATATAACTTCGTCTGATTTACTTTTACTGTGCACCAAACGTCTAATATTTGGAACTTACGACCGGATTGAGTCTAGAAGCTAGTATGGCAAATTTGGTGAAGATCGGTTCAGATATAGCTATAGCTCCCATATATATTGTTCATCCGATTTGTTGTATTTGTTACTCACAGCCGTAATATGCACTCTGTAACAACAATATTTGGGGAAATATATCAAATACAGCTCAGAAATATCTTTGCCAAATTTTATCGAGATCGGTTCCGATTTGGATATAGCTCCCATATATATCAAATGGTCAATACAAGTCCAAATTTAAAATATACAAATGCTTCGGCATATTTAGTCCTTTGAACTTTAAATTATAATTATAATCATAGCGTGTATGATTGAATTCTCCCATAAAAACTTTTAATTGTTATGTGGAACTCTACTAAATTAGCAAAGTGGTGTAGGGTATCATAAAGTCGGCCCCACCCGACTTTAAGACTGTCTTTACTGGTTTTATTCTAGCGTTTCCCATTTTTTTTTAAATTGTTCGTTACCGAAATCATGGGTCCTGATTTTCTAAGGATTTGAAGGACCTTGTGCAAAAAAGGTTCAAGTTTTTTTATAGCCGCAATAACACTGTACCTCTCATTATTCGGTATTTTTACGAATTCGATTCTTAGAATTTTTGACAGGTTCTACCTCCTGTTACAGAACATTGTCTGCACTTTTCTTATAGTCCCCCGACCCCCATATGTTTCATTACTTCCCAATATTCGGTATTCTGATGATTTTTGTCACATTTTCAGTGGAACCGTTTAAAATTCGGTATGTAGAGTTTTGCAATGGGTTCAGCCTTCTAAGGCATAAGTCTGCTGGAAGTGGCCCATGAATTCTTATATATACACCTAATAGCGGTAACTCCGAATAGTTTGAATTTCTAGAGATTTTATCTACATTTTTAACAGATTTATTATTTAAATTTCGCAATGGATAAAATCAACTGGATAACAACAATATATTAAACCTGGATTGTTTAAGAGTATTTTTAGCAAGCTTTCGTGCCAAGAAAAAGTTGATTTCTTAAGATCCACCTGAAAAACACGAATCGATGTTAATCAATAATTTTCTTGGCCAAAATATAGGGCATTTATTAAAGCTTTTTATTTAAAAATCTTCCAAAATCGTCAAAACAGCGGAATTTAATTTTCAATTTTATAGTTACTATGCCAAGATGATTTTTAGGCAATATTTTCAAGGTATCTTTAGTCTGGGTTAAAAAAAAATTAA